GGGGGGGGGGGGGGGGGCGGCACTATTGGGCGACGGCGCGGTGCAAGAGCTTGTGGCGGGGCCTCTGCTTTCGCTTGCACAGATGGGGGACGCGCGGGTCGTGCTTGCAGGAGCGGGAGACACGCTGCTCTGAACCCTGTCGGCGGCGCACGCACAGGCCGGTCAGCAGCCGGCGTCCACATTGCGGTGCTGCCATTCTTGAAGAGCAGAGACACACTCGAGTGAAACCCTCCTGTGGTGAGCCGCGATGCAACAGACTGCATAGAGCACAGCTGTAAACCCCCCGCGGTGATGGTTCTCCTCTACACACGCACACACGCGCGCGCACACACACACACACGCATACACACTGGCACACACACACACTGGCACACACACACCTGCATGGCGCGCAGCAGCACGTCCGGCGGCTGCTGCACACAGGGGTCTGGCAGGTGGTTGAGGAAGATGCTGAATGACACGGCGCTGTCAGAGTGGAACGACTGCACCGTGTTGTAGGCCGCGTCAGACATCTCCGCCAGCAGATGCCTAGATGAGAACGTCCCGAGTGGCGGGCCGGGGTGCGGCGGCGGGAACGGGGTGGGTGCAGGGTGCATGCGGTGCTGGGGTGGTGGGCGCTGCGAGCTCCCTGCAGGCTCGGGCCTCACGGGCAAAGCGAGCGGCGCCGCTGCCGACGCATGATGACTTCACTGGCATGTTCTCAACCCTGCCTGGAACCCAATTACATCAACTCGGCCACTCTACAGGGCTTGTCAGCTGCAGGCTTCCGCACAAAGTGCTGTTCCATGACGCCCCAGCCCCTTGCAGCCTCGCCGCGCCACCCAACAGACGCCCCGCCCCCTCACCGCCGTATGCAGTTAAAGCCGCCCACCACGCCGTTGTGCATCCACAGGTAGCGCCCAAACTGGAAGGGGTGGCAGTTCTGCTCCGACACGGGCATGCCCGGGTATGCGGCGCGCACGTGGGCGAAGATCACGGGGGACACAATCTTGGTTGAGAGGCGCGCCAGGTTCTCGTTGTTCCTGGCGTTTAGGGTTTTGGGTTGTGAGGGGGTTTGACGGGGGCGGACGACAATGTTGTTTTCGGCATTGTTGACATGGGTTGAAGGGGCCACCATGCACGTAGGCAAGGGGCCCATGGGAGAGTCTGGATTTTGGCCCGTGCAGCTGGAGGCAGCGCCTGGGGCGCCACACGAGCTGCGTGTGCGAATGAGCGCCGGCGGCTGCGAGCCGGTCTTCCGGCCGCGGGTTGCTTGTGACGGGGCCGTCCTGGCTCGATCCTGCCGAATGCCTGAGCCGCAGCTCCAGCTAGCTGCTGCCCTGCGCTCTGCGGCAGCTGCTGTGCACAACCTCACGCGGCTGCCAGCTGAGGCCCCTCGTACTCATTCGCAACACCCGCGGCCGCGAAAACAGCCGCATTTCGGCAGGCGCTGCCATGCTGCAGCACCGCGCGCGGCCCAAAACGGCGGCCGTCGGCCCAAAGGCTGCCTGGATGCTGACAGTGCCTCAGCCCTCTGCCTCTACAAGCCGCCGCCGCGACTGCCGCACTCGCATCACGTCAGTTGTACTCCAGACAGAGCTCCGTCACTAGACTGACAAAACAAAAAGACGAACGCGCCCAACTTGCTTCGCGCGCCACCGCTGCCGCCGCCGATGCCGATGCTGTTGCCTGCTGCCGCCCCTGCCACCCCCCGCACCACCCGCCCCGCAGCCGCCCTTGAACCGTGCTCGCCGGCCCGCCGCGCCCCGCGCGCGCCTCACCAGGCGGGTGTGATGCTCTTGAACATGCAAGGGCTCGGGTCTTTCTCCCGCCGCTCCTCTGTGTTGAACCAGCCGATGCCAAACCCGTCGCCGTTCAAATTGCCGAAGCCCAGGTGGAACGGCAGCGAGGGGTCCTGCAGCCGCTCTCGCGCGTCGTACGACTGCTTTATGATGGACCTGTCAGGCCACAGCACCACATCGGCCACCAGCATGGGGTGGCCGATGTAGGCCATGAGGCGGCACATGGCTGCCGCGGCTGACCGCGCCGGGCGCTAATCAGGGCCCGTCTGGGGCCCGCTTGGGGGGGCCGCGCGCGGGCGCAGACGCCGCCGCCGCCGCCGGCCGTCTGCGCGGCTGCCCAGGCGCACCCCGTTGTCCCTGATGTGCTGCGGTGGGCAGCGTGGTTGCGGTGGCTCAAAGGGCTCCAAGGCGCGCCAGTCAAGAGGGGGTGGCGTGATGCGCATTGCGGCGCGCCCGCAGCAGCTGCAGAGAAATAGCGCGCGCACCACGCGGCTATGATCCCTCAAATGACTGAGTTCATCATAGGGACAGCATGCGAGCCCGTAAACACGCTGTCCCGCGCCCTCACCCTCGCGTGTCTGGTGCGCTCTTGAGTTTGTCTTGCCCGTCTCGTCACGCGGATGCAGTTGCTGCACGAAAACAAATTAAAACCCTCCGCGCAAGCAATTATGTCATGTGTCTACCAGGCAAAAGGCTCAATGATCTGCGCAATCGGCAAGCACAGATGATTGGGCCAGCTGCGGTCCTTGGCCAGGTTATCGATTTTACAAGGACTGCAAATTACCTCGTTTTCGAAAACGAATGGGTCGGAGTAGCTGGTTACCCGCTGCATGAAACGGCCCCCAACCGAAGAAGGCCTTATCACCGCGTCCGTGATACCTGTTGAATTCTGAAAAACATATTCTCGCTCTGCGAGTGTGCTTGACGTGCACCTTAATAGATACACGAGGGTTGACCAGCTGACGCGCCGGCCGCCCACGCATGGGCCTTGCAGCAAGAACGGGACTCCCGTGAGAGGCCGCTAGAACGATCGTGGCTGCCCAGAGGGCGCAACGACGGCGGCAGGGTTGTTCGGCGGGCGGGCTGCGGCACCGCGCGCCCAGTGGCGCACTGCTGAGCGCAATCGGCGCACTGCCGCGACCGCCGCAGCCAGGGGCCCCTGAATACAAGGAGAGCGGCGCAGCAGCTTGCGAACGATGTGGTTCAAGTTTGCCGTCGTGGCAGTCAAGCTTTCCGGCCCCAAAAAGGCCGCCCACGTCTTTTTGAAGCGCAGCTACAACGGCGGCGCGTTCGAAGTCGGCGACGCCCCGCTGGCGGCGTTCTGCCTGCCGCTCGGCGCGGACTCGCAGACGCCCAAAGACCGGATGGCGCCGGAGGTGAGCGCGCAGGAGCGCGCGGCCGCTGCGGCCGCGCGCGACATCCAACGCACGACGCCACCGTAACACCCACCGCTCCCTGTCGTGGACGTGTTTGCCGGGCGATGCTGTTGCAGCAGCATTCAGCCCTTCACCAACATTGGCTTATACATACTACATATGAACTGATCTTTTCAACCTCCCCTACCAGGAGTACACTTTCACACTGACCCAAGGGGACGGCTCCCGGGTGCAGGGCTTCTGCCGACGCTTCCTGCCGCCCGCGCCGCGCATCGGCAGCCGCCTGCGCTACCCGCAGGTGCTCTGCCTCGTGTGCGAGGCCGGCTGGGCGGCGCTGTTTTTCAAGGCGAGCTGAGAGGGGGGGTGTGCGGGGCCGGTTGCGGGGACACGCCTGGATGGGCGTGTGACTAGCTGCGGCGGCCCCGTATGCAAGGGCGGCCTAATTGATCGAAAAAAACAGCGGCGAGCCGGCAAGCCTCGGCCCCTGGATGCTGAGAGCATTAGGGCGTCCGGGCTGCCGGCCTCTGGCGAATCGGCCAACACAGATGTGGCAGCTGCGCCGGAGCAGGGATGAGGCCAGCCCTGCGTACGCGCCTGCATCTCGCTTTTGGTTCCCTGCACGCAGGCGCTGGAAGTTGTCGAGCAGCTGCTGTGCCAGGGCGAGCTGCTGCTGGACCTGGGGAACGGGCAGCTGCCCGAGGGCTGCCTGGCGGGGGCGTTCCTCGCGTCGCTGGGGGCGCAGCTCTCGGAGCGGCCGCCGCTCGGCAGCGTGATCAGGTGCAGCCCTCTTTTTCGCTAATTGGCAATCCTGAGCCCTAGTTCGTGAACTTTCCCTCTCTCCCCCTCTCTTTGTCTCTCTCTCCATCTCTCTCCCTCTCTCTCAAAAACACACACACACACACACACACATGCGCGCGCGCGCACAAATAGCAAGCTTGACACAGCAGTCTCTCTCGAACCATGCTGCTCCGGCCGCCTGGGTTCTGTGCATCAAGAGCGTTTTGCGACGAAGAGAGAGGCGCCGTGCCAGCTGGGGCTGACCCATGCCGCCCCCTTCCTCCCGTGCGGGCGCTTGCCTCACCCCCCTTGCAGGGTGGCGCTGCCGCAAGCGGCGGCGCCGCTGTCCGTCAGCCCCCCCAAGCGCACCAGCGCCGGCCCCGGCAGCGCCCCCGCCCCGCCGCTCGAGTTGTGAGCGGCCTTCGACTCGTCTGCCTATTTGGGGTGTCCTTTCGAATCTCAACCAGCAACCACCCCAGCGAGCAGCAACCCTGTACATCGGCGAAAGCGTTTTACGTCGCACAAACGTCTCCAGTCCGAATGCGAATTGCTGCACCCAGACCGCCGTCTGGACCCAAACCATTCGTAATCGGAAGCCTCTGAACCCTAAACCCTACCCCCTAAACCCTGAAACCCTCCACAGCTCCTCTGAGGCCCTGGAGCTGCAGATCCCGCCGGACTGCGGCAACGGGCAGTCCAATGCAGGGGTCAGCCTCGCGCGCCTGCTGTGGCACGTCCCCGTGCCAGCGATGGTCACACTCGTCGCGTCGCTGCTGATGGAGCGGCGCGTGGTGCTGGTGGGGCAGAGCCGCGACGTGGTGTCTGCCGCGGTGTGCGCGGCGAACGCGCTGCTGTACCCCTTCAAGTGAGGGGGGTTGGGAACAACATGGGAAATCGAACCGAGTAGAGGGATCAGGCAGGGGTTGGGGGTGTTGAAAGCGAGGAAGGCGCGGCGGTGGCGGTGGTTTGGGGTGCGCGTTGTGCTACCAGGTGGTTTTTGGACTCGCTTGTCAGGGGCACGCGGGAGGGCTAGAGCTGCTGCCCTCCCAGTTGCGGTCAAACCCCGGTCAACGCTCGCGCGCGCAACTTCCATGTAAAGGCACGCTCCCACCTCCCCAAAGTGCAGTCGCATGCAGCGCGGCCCCTCCTGATGCGCCCGATCCAGCCATCTTTGTCTCACCCCTCCGCCCCTTGGGCCCCCACCAACACCCTTCACCAACCGCTGGCCCCTTCCAGGACCCCCAACAACCGTTCCTACCCTCCACGACCCCCACCGACCGAACCC